CGATTTCCTCCTAAGGTTCTTAAGGGAGGGGGGTTCAAGGAGGGTATATATTCCCCAATGCTCCCCACTACTTCCTACGGCTCCCTAAGCTTCCCTAAGGTCCTCAAGGGAGGGGGGTCCAAGGGGGGAATGTATCCCAAGGTTCCCTGATACTCCCTCCCTTAGGCTCCCCAAGCTTATTCTACGGTTTCCTAGGTGCCTAACTCCCATGAACCCTGAACCCTGAACCCTGAACCCTAAACCCTAAACCCTAAACCCTAAACCCTAAACCCTAGACCCTAGACCCTAACCCCAAACCCTAAACCCTAAACCCTCCTAAGGACCCTATAATTTCCATAGGGATCTGCTCTCAGCTGCTCAGAGTCGCGCAGCCGCTGTCAACGCCGAGGCCCAGGTCGATAAGATGATCGGACACCTGAGGGGTTAGGGTTTAGGATTTAGGGCTTATGTTTGGGGTGTGGGGTTTGGGGTATGGGGTATAGGTTTTGTGTTTTTTTTTTTTGGGGGGGGGGGGGGGGGGGGGGGGGGGGGGGGGGGGGGGGTGGGGGGAGGGTGGTGTCTTGGGTTGTTTCGCGCCTTGGGGGTGGGATTTGACACACGGGCGTGTCGGAACCTCTCTCTAAAACAGTGCACGTCCTGCGCCGACGTACGAAATTTGTGGCACCTTTGACGCACGAGCGGAGAGCTTCTCAACGACATAAACGAAACCGTGCTGGAGAGGCTTCCTGGTGCTGCCTGATGCTAAACCCTAAACCCCAAACCCCAAACCCCAATCCCTAAACCCTAAACCCTAAACCCTAAACCCCAAACCCCAAACCCCAAACCCCAAACCCCAATCCCTAAACGCTCCCAAGACTGATATGGTATGTGTGATCAGCCATCTGAGCCAGCGCTTCCATCAGTCTTTCGGCAATGTACAACAACATCCCCACAAGCCCTAAACCCTAAACCCTAAACCCTAAACCCTAAACCCTAAACCCTCCCGCAAACATGTTCAGAGTAATCATCAGCACCATGGCCATAACACATGGGGGTTTGGTATTTGGGGTACCTTATTGGGGTCCCGATTAGAAGGGAATCCTATTTGGGGGGTCTATACTTGGGGTGCCTTATGTTCGTAAACTCCCACATAAGCAGCATGAACGATGTCACAATGACTAGCCTGGCGGCTAGACTCTAAACCCTAAACCCTAAATAAAACCTAAACTTCCCTAAACCCTAAACCCTAAACCGGGCCCCCCTAACAAGATGTGATGAAGGTTGAGTTTGGCAACGCGTTCCATGAGTCCCCTCAATTCCTGTGACCAAACCTGCCCGGGTCCTTCACCGAAGGTCGTGCCTATAGCGAACATGGTGTTGGGTTACAACTACAGCTTTACTTGGCTGCACTTAGGAGGGTAGCTATGAATTAAGTTTTTTCGCTGCCGTAATAAGAAACCCAACAAGCCCAAAAAGGCTAAGGATCTAAAGTACAGTAGAGAACCGCAAAGTTTGATTGGGTTGTTCAGCACCATGAACCTCTAAGCAAGCCCTCAACCCCACACCGCGCCTGCCGTTGCAAGGTGGACTGGTCTGCGCCGGTCAGACCTCGCGTAATCAAGGAGCTGAACCTTTCGTCTGCTGAAACTCCAAAGGCTTAGCCCTAAACCCTAAACCCTAAACTCTAAACCTTAAACCCTGAACCCTGAACCCTAAACCTTTAAGGACCGTGGGTTGAGGGACCGCGCGGACTGTTGCAGGGCGGACAAAAAAGCCTCAGGGGGTTCGGGGGCTTTGGGGGGGCTAGGGGGCAGGGTTTCTTCGTTCAGGGTTTAGGGGCAAGGTGTGGGGAAGTGTTACGAAGTGGGACTTCCAGAATGCCTCCTAGACCCAGAACCACAAACCCTAAACCAACTAAACCCCTAAACCCATAAACCCCTAAACCCCTAAACCCCTAAACCCCTAAACCCCTAAACCCCTAAATCCCTAAAAAAAAAAAACCTCTGACAATTTTTCTTAAGCCCAATTTCTAGACCCGGGAGTAACCTAGGAATAAAAGGGTACCCTTTTAAGTGAACCCCAACCCTAAAAAAAGGAAAAAAGTGCCTACTCCCGATCCTAGATGAGCTCGGCAGCCCAGCAACCATATAATAAAAAAAACAACCTTTTTCGGGGGTGGCTACTTTATAAGGGACTGGGCTACAAAGCCTGTTCTTTCGCCTTCTGGCTTAAAATGGGCAGCTGAATTTGGTTCCGTCTTGAGTCCCCATATCGTACGCCACCCTGAAACCCTAAACCCAAAAAGGGACCCTTAGCACAAGAACAAAATACTCAAAATGGGAAAAGGGAAAAACCCAGGAAAGCCTCGAGCATACCAGGACAGGTACCTGGGGGCCGTCCCACATTCTAAACATGGCTTAGGGTTGTGGTTGAGGGTTCTAGAAGGATTTGCAAGGTCATAATCTCCGTGATTCTCCAGGCTCCTGTATGACCCTGCCAGGCCCCAAGCCCGTAGGATTTGGGGTTTAGGGTTTTGGGGTTTGGGGTTTCGGGTTTCGGGTTTCGGGTTTCGGGTTGAGGGTTGAGGGTTTAGGGTTTAGGGTTTAGGGTTTAGGGTTGAGGGCGCTCCGCCTCCCGGAATTGGCACAAGAGCGAGGTCGAAAAAGTGCTGGGTCTTTGCCGGAAACTCGAACGTCTGCCAGAAGTGGCCTGGAGAAGCTCACCCTAACCCCTACACTTTACCCTCAACCCCAAACCCTAAACCCGAAACCCTCAACCCCTAAACCCTGAGCCCTAAACCCGAAACCCTAAACCCTAAACCCTAAACCCTAAACCCTAAACGGAGAAGCTCAACGACACAGAAACATTGGAGACCTGGAGCTCCCCAGACCGCCTCAAGGGAAACCGATGATTTGAGGTAGGGCTTAGGGTTTAGGGTTTAGGGTTTAGGGTTTAGGGTTTCGGGTTTCGGGGTTTCGGGGTTTCGGGGTTTCGGGGTTTCGGGGTTTCGGGGTTTCGGGGTTTCGGGGTTTCGGGGTTTCGGGGTTTCGGGGTTTAGGGTTTAGGGTTTTAGGGTGTTAGGGTTTTAGGATTTCGGGTTTCGGGTTTCGGGTTTAGGGTTTAGGGTTTAGGGTTTAGGGTTTAGGGTTTAAGGTTTAGGGTTTAGGGTTTAGGGTTTAGGGTTTAGGGTTCAGCAGCTCCGGATCGAGCAGTTGTATAGTAAAGTCTCTGATGCAACACCCACCCACCCAGAGAATCCCATAACATTCAAAAAGTACCAAGTACTCTCCAATCATCTCAGCCTCAAAAGGCCTGGCCGTTTTTTCGTGGTTCGCGGCAAATGTTCGTAGCTCATGGCCATTTTTTCGTGGTTCATGGCCAAGTTGTCGTGGTTTATGGCTATTTTTTCGTGGTTCATGGCCATTTTTTCGTGGTTCATGTTCTTCCTGGCTCATGGCCATTTTGTTCGTGGTTCATGGCCAAGTTGTCGTGGTTCATGGCTATTTTTTTCGTGGTTCATGGCCATTTTTTCGTGGTTCATGTTCTTCCTGGCTCATGGCCATTTTGTTCGTGGTTCATGGCCATTTTTTTCGTGGTTTCAGGGCCTCGGGTTTAAGGGTTTCAGGGCCTCAAGGCCTGGGGTTTCGAGCTTCTAGAATTTCAGGTCCTCTAAGCCAAGCCTCAACCAACAAAGGCCTAGAGGAGCCAAGTTCAAGACAATGAGGTTAACACAATTCGCGTTTCTTGTGCCCCGTTCATTTCTTAGCTAACGCAGCGCGCAACAGATGCAATGGCAAGAAAATGAGGTTAACAAATTAGGTGTTTTGTTGTGTCCGTTCATTTCAAGCATATGAAGCACGAACGATTTGGCCATGAACCACGAAAAATTGGCCATGAACCACGAAAAAATGGCCATGACCCACGAAAAATTGGCGACGAAGCACGAAAAATTTGCCATTAACCACGAATTCATTAAAGTTTAAATCATCATGTGATAGAGAGGGGTTTAGGGTTGAGGGTTTAGGCTTTGGGGTTGAGGGCTTCTTGGTATCCCAGCAAACATATTATAATGAGGGTACCCTTTCTGGGGTAGGTTACTGTATACGGGACCCTTGAGACACAAAAAGGGCCAAAGGGCACCACTGGTCTACCAAGGTAGGCGTTTAGGATTCAGGGCTTAAAGTTTGCAGGGCTAAGGGCTGCCGTGACTTGCCAACAGATCACAACACCCAGGCTCCAAGCTCTAAATTCAAGCCCCAGCGAGTGCCCTAAACTCTACGAACCAAAAGCCCTACACCTCTCTTACATATGTAGTTTAAATGTTGGGGAATTACTGGGCAAGGTCGTCGATTTACTGGGCAAGGTCGCCGTTTTACTGGGCAAGGTCGCCGTTTTTTACTGCGCAAGGTCGCGGTGTTACTGGGCAAGGTGGTTTTAGGGTTCAGGCTGCCTTTAGGCCCCACTCTGGGCTGGCTCTTTAGGGTTCAGGGGTAGTCTGGTCTGGGCTGGCTTTAGGGTTCAGGCCTTACTCTGGGCTGACTTTAGGGTTCATGCCCCACTCTGGGCTGGCTTAGGGTTCAAGCCCCACTCTGGGCTGGCTTTAGGGTTCAGGGCCTAGTCTGGGCTGGCTTTAGGGTTCAGGGTCTGGGCTGGTTTTAGGGGCTTTAGGGCTCAGGCCCCATTATGGGCTGGCTTTAGGGTTCAGGGGGGTTCAAGGCCCGCTCTTTTCTGGGTTGGCTTTAGGGTTGTTGTCTCGACACCTGAATTTATAAATGTAAGTGAAATATTTTCTTAATGTTATGGGATTCTTGGGGCGGGCGGGTATTTTTCCAACGCTCGATGAAGTGCTTGACGAGCGAATGCTTGGACTTGAGATGCTGAACCCTAAACCCTAAACCCTAAACCCTAAACCCTAAACCCTAAACCCGAAACCCTAAACCCTAAACCCGAAACCCTAAACCCCAAACCCGAAACCCTAAACCCTAAACCCTAAACCCTAAACCCTATACTTCAGTTCAAGCTTAGGCACTGTTGAATGCCGACTCCCAAGGCTCATAGTAGTCCTTCCAAATTGGGGCCTGGTTCTTTCCCCAGGACCACCTCAGGGCTTAGGGCTTAGGGTTTAGGGTTTAGGGTTTAGGGTTTAGGGTTTAGGGTTTAGGGTTTAGGGTTTAGGGTTTAGGGTTTAGGGTTTAGGGTTTAGGGTTTAGGGTTTATGGGCTTTGAGGGTTTTTCGTAAGTCGGCACAGGCAAGCAGCACCCTGAAAGGAACGTCCTACTGAATAACCCTGCGTAGCAACTACTTACCTACACCCAAGAGCACCCCTAGGAAAACAAAAGGGTGCCCTTATTTGGTTTCCAAGAAGCTTAAAACCTAATCCCTAAACCCTAAACCCTAAACCTTAAACCCTAAACAAGAGCGGAACAAGGGCCTACTTTGGGTCCTACCTACTAAGCCCCAGCATCCTCCAAGTAGGAACTGCCGGGTCTAAGGTTTCCCTTCAAGATGTTCACGACCCTATTTAGGGTTTAGGCTCCAGGGGTTAGGGTTCAGGGTTTAGGGTTTAGGGTTTAAGGTTTAAGGGTTTAGGGTTTAGGGTTTAGGGGCCAGCCAACAGGACAGGATCTTGCAATATGAGCTGAGGCGTGAGATCTGTAGATCTTGGTGCATTGCAGTTGAGCCGGAAAGTTCTATGGCTACATCATATGGAGTATGGCGTTTACTACAAGCATCTTCAACCGGGCACTCCATATATGCACTCGTCAAACGATTGGTCAAGAGTTTATCAAGGGACCATGTATACACTCACCAAAACCCGAATCATAACCAGGCTTCATCTAGGTTGCCCAGTCACCTAGCATCAAAATGCCGATCTGCGCTTAAAGGGGCTTATATGGGAACCTAAACCGCCCAAAGAGGGAATAAGTTGGACTATGGGAGGTGGTTGAGCGGCTAGGGACACCGGCGCAAGGCAGTCTACATGGACTTCCTTGGGGGGTTTAGAGAAGAGTCTGGGGGGGGGGGGCAGATGAAGAACCTAAACCCCAAGCCTAAAGGCCCTAGAAGAGTGTGTGATGTGTATGAAACATGTATCACGAAACATGTACAAATACAATCACCGCCGCGGCTGCAAAGCTGTAAAACCTCACCAAACTCATCAAACTTAAAAAGCACTTAAGAAGGCCTCTACAATCAAGAAGGCCCGAGCCCTTCTCAAGACTGACGCTAAGCACCTAGAACCTAAGCCCTAACGCCTAGCCAACCTCCCTAAACCGTCAACCCCGAAGCCTTAAGCGACAGTACTTCCAAGGAGCATTTTGGTGAAGTGCAGGCCAGTGCTAGAGTTGAGAGGCACGTACCTTGTCATTCCAAGGCTATGATTCCGAGGTTTAGGGTTTAGGGTTTAGGGTTTAGGGTTTAGGGTTTTGGGTTTTGGAGGGTTTAGGGTTTAGGGTTTAGGGTTTAGGGTTTAGGGTTTAGGGTTTAGGGTTTAGGGTTTAGGGTCTAGGGTCTAGGGTCTAGGGTCTACCTTCTCATTCTGAGGTTTGCGCTTGCTGCTCGGGGTTTAGGCTTTAGCTCTCCGGCTTCAGGTCCGCAGCGAGAGGGTTGAGGATTTAGAGTTTAGGGCTTTAGGAGTTTAGGAGTTTAGGAGTTTAGGAGTTTAGGAGTTTAGGAGTTTAGGAGTTTAGGAGTTTAGGAGTTTAGGAGTTTAGGAGTTTAGGAGTTTAGGAGTGTGTAGGAGTTTAGGGAACGACCATGCCATGCACAGCCACTCACAACAAGGCTAGCTAGCTAGCGCAGTATTCGGGGGGAGGGGGGGGGGGGGGGGGGGGGGGCGCTACTTTGCGGACCAGGTGAAGCCTAAGATTGGGGTCATATACCCTAGACTACGATAATCCTGACTAGGGCATATGAACCAGAAACCCTTGTATGGTTCATTTGGGGGTTTACGAAAATCAGGGACCCGAAATATAGACCCCCATATAGTAGGATTTTTCTGATAATAAGGACCCCAAAAAAGATGCCCCGAATTTCGGAAAGCCCATCTGGGGTTCATTGGTCCACAAGGTACTGTGCTGAATGTCGGACCGACAAGGATGTCGGATTGCAAGTTTTGCTTTAGAAGCCCGGCCGGGAGCGAAGGGGCTTAGGGTTTGGGGTTTAGGGTTTAGGGTTTAGGGTTTAGGGTTTAGGGTTTAGGGTTTAGGGTTTAGGGTTTAGGGTTTAGGGTTTAGGGTTTAGGGTTGGAACTGAAACTGTCCCTGAACCCAAGAATCTGCCACTTTACGTCCCTTCGGCGCCCAAAAGAACCGGGGTTCCGGGTTTAGGGTCTCGACATCCCAGAGCTACCCAGGCATAAACAGGGTACCCGTTGCTTTGGCTTTAAATCGAGCCCCCTGGGAGGATCCAAGTAGAACCCCCAAATAGTACCGTTACCCTATACTACTTGGAGGTTCATGGTACTGATTAAACAATTATAACTGTACTTATAACTGTACTTATAACCATATTAGGGCACTTAGGGGGCTTACAAGTGGGTTATAAGTACGGTTATAACTGGTTCTTAAGTACTATACACCTCCAAGTACTATTGCAGGTCATCCTCTGGGAGGGGTTGATAAAGTAAAACCTCATTGGGACCTAGCGAAGCCTTTTCCGAGGGTAACCTCGGCCTTTTGCGGACCTTCGGCCTAGGAATTTTCGGCACCACAAGCCCGGCAATGAAAAAGCTGGAATCTATCCTTTCTGGGGTTGGCTACTTTACTAACCCGTCAACCCTAAACTCCCCCACCTAAACCCCAACGCCCCAACACCCCCCAAAACCCAACCCCCAAACCCAAACCCTAAACCCGAAACCCTGAACCCCAAAGGCTGCTGAACTCGACCCTCGTCGAAGGTGGGGTGCACAAACCGATACACCAAGGAGCGGGGTGCAGTTTAAATGCTCATGAACCTCCCACCAAACCCTAGACCCTAAACCCTAAACTTCTCCGAGCTGCGCCGTTCCCCGGCCTTGTCTTGTGGGCGGTATCTGCACGGCGTGGTAGCCCCCCAGAAGCCTCGCGGATTTGGGCATTTCCCAGAGAAAGGATCCCCCAATATACTATACTTGGAGGTTCATGATACTTATTTACCAATTAGAACTGTATTTATAACAAGATTAGGGCACTTGGAGGGCTTATAAGTGGGTTACAAGGACAGTTCTAATTGGGAATTAAGTACCATGAACCTCCAAGTAATCCTTACAATACCCTGTAGAGCTTTAGGATCAGGAACTAACGAAGGAAGGAAACAAGAAGAGGTAGGACTGCTGAGAATATGAGACACCACAGCTATGTGGAAAGAAGCTATAGTACTGTTTGCTCTTCTTGTGCACCCAAGTTCCTACATGATCTTAGGACCGAAATACATGTAGATGTAAAATGTAAAGGAAGACTACGAAGAATACCGGAGATGCATCAATAGCTCCAGCGTACATCAGCCTTGTATAGTCACTGACAAGGACGATCGGCCATGACGGTATACGTGGTAACCCTAAACCCTAAACCCTAAACCCTAAACCCTAAATCGTTGCGGGCAGTTCGAGCATGGATCGTGACATGACAACCCTGCTGTGACCCTAGCAAGCCAACCCCAGACCCTCAACCTTGAACCTGGCACGTTGCGAAAGACAGTGGCAGTGTTTGCGGAAAAGGTTGAACAATAGTTGCTAAATCTATTGATTTGAACTTGGGGCTGTCTCATATGGGAATTTGGGGTAGTTTACACTTTGGGAATTGGGGGTAGTTGACACTATGACACAAACAGGGATCAGGAAAGGATCATTCTGGGCTCAGTAGGTTTGCACAACAGCATAGAAAGCCCAACCACCCCCGTGAATAGAGCCATGGACCCTAACATCTACTAGGACCTCCGTACGGTTTGAGGCATACTCCATGATTCGAGTGGGGGTGCTGATGATCCTCGCGTTCAGTTTGGGGTGCCCAGAAGAGAGAGTCGGCTGGGCCGGAGGGAGTCTTGGCAGGGTTCAAGGTTCAGGGTTCAGGGTTCAGGGTTCAGGGTTCAGGGTTTAGGGTTTAGGGTTTAGGGTTTAGGGTTTAGGGTTTAGGGTTTAGGGTTTAGGGTTTAGGGTTTAGGGTTTAGGGTTTTAGTGTTTTTGTTGCATAGGGTTTTGGGGGGTTGAGGCTTGAGGCTTTACATCATTCGTCCATCTCTCGTGGTTCTGACCATTGTCGCTTTCACCCGCTTGCCAAAATCCGACTTCAAGCCCTAAACCCTAAGCCATCCCGACCTTAAGCCCGAAATCCCTCAACCCTAGACCCTCCGAAACACTGCGCTGGGAGGCTGAGGGTAGTCGTAGAAGATGCACATCTCCTGCATTGGAGTTGGACTCTTGGCTGGGGCTTGGGGTTTGGGGTTTGGGTTTTAGGGTTTAGGGTTTCGGGTTTAGGGCTTAGGGTTTAGGGCTTTGGGCTTTGGGTTTAAGGTGCAGGGCTCCGTGCTGATGTACAGGTTTGGCGTTTTGCAAGTGCGCGCAAAGAAGAAAACAAGTACTCCCAAAAAGAGGACCCAATTGGAGGCCATTTAAAAACCCTACTACATACCACCCACTTTTTAGGTCCGCCCCGCTCCTTGACAGCAGGACCCTAAACCCTAAACCCTAAAGACTGTGGGATTCCAACTGTTGGGTACACGCTTGCCGTGTTCGTGGGTGGGCACCTAAGCCACTAAACCCCCGAATGGCCTTAACTCTGAGCGCTGAACCTGACCATTCCCGAGGAGAGTTTAGGGTTTAGGGTTTAGGGTTTAGGGTTTAGGGTTTAGGGTTTAGGGTTTAGGGTTTAGGGTTTAGGGCTTAGGGCTTAGGGTTTAGGGTTTAGGGTTTAGGGTTTAGGGCTTAGGGCTTAGGGTGTAGGGCTTAGGGCTCAGGGCTTAGGGGCCCAGGTCCTTCCATTTTGCCGGCCGAGCGAGCTCCGGTTGACCTTGGGCTCTTCCCCCCATTTTTAGGATCGGGTTTAGGGTTTCGGGTTTCGGGTTTAGGGTTTAGGGTTTAGGGTTTAGGGTTTAGGGTTTAGGGTTTAGGGTTTAGGGTTTAGGGTTTAGGGTTTAGGGTTTAGGGTTTAGGGTTTAGGGTTTAGGGTTTAGGGTTTAGGGTTTGGGGTCTGGGGTCTGGGGTCTGGGGTCTGGGGTCTGGGGTCTGGGGTTTGGTTTTGGGGTTTGGGGTTTAGGGATTAGGGATTAGGGATTAGGGTTTAGGCTAACCCCCCATTCCTGTTTTGCTTAAGAAACACCAGAAAAGTAAAATAATCCGAATATTGCCCATACACGGAAGAGTAGTTTTGTTTTGGGGGGGTTCTTAAGCAAGTAGTAGACATGCGTCATCTCCTGAAAGGCACTCTACACTACTTGCCAAGAACAACGAACTCGCTAGAATCAGAAACGTACACGGTTGCTTCCGGACACGGTTCAAAAGCAGAGTGTCGTGATCGGTCAGGTAGAAACTTCACCGTCTCTGGCCCTACAGACCCCAAACCCCATAAGGACATGAGGGATAAACTCAACTGAGGACTGGGGTTCAATACGTTTAGGCTTTGCCTTAGCTTGGTAGCCAAGTAACCACACTATCACACTATAATGAGGGTACCCTTCTCGGGCTTGGACTTTATTCGGAACCCTCGCGCCAATAAGGGGCAAAAAGGGTACGGTTCCACTGGGCTACCAAGATAGGCTTTGTGGCCCACGCCATTTGGGGATAAGAGTGTGGGGTTGTCAAAAAGTGGCGCAATTTCCACCGTGGGAAACCCTGCTGCGTGCGAGCGGAAGCCCTAAATACCTACTTGGAGGTTCATGGGTGCGTATGAGTAGGGATACAAGTCGGCTAACTCGACTTCTAACCTTCCTTAGGTTTCCTAGAACCCTACGTTTAAGTACCCGTGAACCTTCAATCCTCCCCTGACCACAGCGCGCTGACTGAAGATCTCCACCATTGACGAGGTAAAAAAGGCCGATAGGAAAACAGCTGTAGGAGGCCCTGAGGATGATCCTTTAGGGTTTAGGGTTGAGGGTTTAGGGTTTAGGGTTGAGGATTTAGGGTTGAGGGTTGAGGGTTTAGGGTTTAGGGTTTGGGGTTTGGGGTTGGTTTGGGGGCAAGATCCCGAACATGCATTCCCCCCTGATCTCGACATGGGATGAGAGGCTGTCCCAGCGGAAAACCTTGGGCAAGTCTCGGTAGCACCAGTCGTCCTGAGCCGTAGGTAAGACTTTATAACCCCCTAAACAACCCTTTCAGGGACGCTCATTCCCGAAGTCCCTAAAAGCCCCTAAACCCGAAACCCTTTCAAAAGAACTACGCTCAGAGCCCAATACCCCCAAAAATGAGGTATATGCCATAAATCGTATTCAGGATCCCTATGCAAGTTGAGGCATGTTCCTTCAAAAGGGTAGTGGGCTCTTTGGGTATAACGGTATAACCCTAAACCCTAAACCCTAAACCCTAAAGGTGGGAGCAAGGCTTTGGGGTTCTACATGATCGCTTGTCTTAGGGCTTAGGGCTTAGGGCTTAGGGCTTAGGGCTTAGGGCTTAGGGCTTAGGGCTTAGGGCTTAGGGCTTAGGGCTTAGGGCTTAGGGCTTAGGGCTTAGGGCGTAGGGCTTAGGGCTTAGGGCTTAGGGCTTAGGGCTTAGGGCTTAGGGCTTAGGGCTTAGGGCTTAGGGCTTAGGGCTTAGGGCTTAGGGCTTAGGGCTTAGGGTGCAGGGCTTAGGGCTTAGGGCTGAGGGCTTAGGGCTTAGGGCTAAGGGCTTAGGGCTTCGGGCTTCGGGCTTAGGGTTGGGAATGTCCAAGGTGCCGGAGCTTACTTCTGCCAAGCTTCGCTCTTAAAACGGTACACCTGCGGCGTAATGATCTGCGAGTCCTCGCGCCGAAGATGGTGCGTATGGTCACTTCCCTCAGCCCTAGTAATTAGGGTGCCCAAGAAGGGACATTCTTTGGAGAAGTGACCCTATGCCGGGGTCAAGCCAGGGGTTTAAGGTGAAGGTTTTCCGGGTTGAAGCTGTGTTTCGAAATCAAACAGAAGCGCTACAGGCTCTAGGCTCGGTACGTCCTATGTGTGCTTCACCACTGGGCTTCCAATAGGACCTCGAGGAAGCCCCTTGCTTGTGCATCCAGCTTGCCAAATTTCACACAGGGGGCCTGGAGTTTAGGGTTCGGCAACCCTAAACCCGAAACCTAACCCGAAATGCTAAACCCTAAACCCTAAACCCGAAACCCTAAACCCTAAACCCGAAACGCTAAACCCTAAACCCGAAACACTAAACCCTGTGCGGGCGGGTGGCCGACAAGATCTTGGGGTTTGGGGGGTCTCCTAAACCCTTGGCAAGGCACCATAACCCTATTTATAAACCACCTCCGAGAGTGATGACAAGAACGGGGCATAGTGGTGGTTATCCTAAAGACTATGAAGGCTAAGAGGAGTTGCTGGCTAGTGTCTTTAGGGTTGAGGGCTGAAGGCTTAGCATCACGGCGAGCACGATGCTCGTAAGCGTAATGCTGCAAATTCTGGCGCAACTGGTGAAGCCCTCCCCCAAACACGAAGCGTACTTGGAGGTCCATGGGTACTGAATACCCCAATCATCAAACCCTAAACCCTAAACCCTAAACCCTGAACCTCCAAGGTACGGCCGTGTCCTCATCAATGGGGAATGTCATGGGCATCCACGCTGCACCCTTGGCATCTGCAGCCGTCGGGTTGATAACTTCCTCGTCACCCAGAGAGCCCCAGTTTAGGGTTTAGGGTTTAGGGTTTAGGGTTTAGGGTTTAGGGTTTAGGGTTTAGGGTTTAGGGTTCAGGGTTTAGGGTTTAGGGTTTAGGGATTAAGGATTAGGGCTTAGGGTTTAGGGTTTAGGCGAGGGGCCCTTAATCTGATGTAAGGTATATTGCTTAAGTAAGGGGAGTATTGGGCTCTTGAGGCAAGAGCAGCGTTTGATGTCAAGGTACTTGGAGGTTCAGGGTACTTCTGACCCTCATGATAACTGCACGTAGAAGCCCCCTAAGTCCCCTAAGTAGGTTATAAGTAGGCGTATAACTGTGGCTAACAGTACCCTTAACCCTTAACCCGAAACCCTAAACCCTAAACCCACCTCCAGGTAGGGCGACGTGCATTCTGTCGTTCGGGCTTGGCGGGTGATCTTTCGCAGGGGGTTTTCAACAAGTCACCTTTGCAAGCGGAACACTGACAGAAGCCCTAAACCCTAAACCCTAAACCCTAAACCCTACACCCTAAACCCTAAACCACACAAATCACATCTTTCGCTGGAGCCGAAGCACACCCCGTAGCCGCACGTAGTCCTCCCCTGCCCGCAGAGTGATCCAGAACCGGAAGACGAGGTTGGTGACGGGGTAAGCACCTGCAAGGTTTTAGGGTTTAGGGTTTAGGGCTTAGGGTTTAGGGTTTAGGGGCTTTATAGGATGAACGCTAAACCCTACGGCCCTACACCCGACACCCTGTATGGGGGTTTATGAAACTAGGGGAGCCCCAATATAGATCCTCAATGGCAGGATCCCCTTATAGTAAGGACCCCAAAGAAGGTACCCCTAACTGCGGAATTCCCCATAAACCCTAAACCCTAAACCCTAAACCCTAAACTTTTCGGGCTTAGGGCTCCAGACTGCCTCGCGCTTCTGCGACTGAAGGTCCAAAGTAAGGGGCCCCCACGGAAACACACCTAGAGTGGGCCCTTGGCCGTTTTGGGTTTGGGGTTTAGGGCTAAGGGTTTAGGGTTCAGGGTTTAGGGTTTAGGGTTTTAGGGTTTTAGGGTTTTAGGGTTTTAGGGTTTTAGGGTTTTAGGGTTTTAGGGTTTTAGGGTTTTAGGGTTTTAGGGTTTTAGGGTTTTAGGGTTTTAGGGTTTTAGGGTTTTAGGGTTTTAGGGTTTTAGGGTTTTAGGTTTTTAGGGTTTTAGGGTTTTTGGGTTCTAGGGTTTTAGGGTTTTAGGGTTTTAGGGTTTTAGGGTTTTAGGGTTTTAGGGTTTTAGGGTTTCAGGTTTAGGGTTTAGGGTCTACGGTTTGCTGCAACATGTTCCCGGAAGCTGTGAAGGTTAGGATGCCAGGCAGCTTCGAAAACTTCGGAACATGCGAGATAAACCCTGAACCCGAAACTCGCAACCCTGAACCCTAAACCCTAAACCCTAAACCCTAAATCCGAAACCCTACTTGCTCTAGGGAGTCAGGGAATTGGGTACCTTATACCTCCCTATAGAAGCCTTTACCTGTCCAGATGCTCAGGCCAATGACAGGTTCGTGACCAAGTGGGTTTAGGGTTTAGGGCCGAGGGCTTAGGCCTTAGGGTTTTGGGGTTTTGGTTAGGGCTTAGGGTTTAGGGTTTAGGCTTTGCTCAACATCATCTGGGAAAGCGGAACTATGCTTGATGGCTCTTTGACAATCCTCAACCAAACCCAAACGTTAAACTTGCAATCCGAAACCTGTGGAGTTACTGAGCCGAGGCACTCATCGGGACTCCATCAGGTCCTGCGTAGCGCCCCTCAGACCTCGGTCACATCCACCAATACTCCTCCTCCTCCTACTACTACTACGATGATGATGACGACGACGACGACGACTACTACTACTACTACTACTACTACTACTACTACTACTACTACTACTACTACTACTACTACTACTACTACTACTACTACTACTACTACTAGTACTACTACTTGCTTGAGAAACCTGCAAAAAAATAGACATTCCTGATAGCGGTTATAAAAGGGATTATGGTCTGTTGTACTGTTCGGGTTAAGGTTGAGGGTTCAGGGTTTTTGGTCGATAGGGAAGGGAGGGGAGGGGGAGGGGGCAGGGATGGGCAGGGAGAGCTGAACAATAAATCCAAAACCCTCCAATGAGCTTAGAGTTTAGGGTTGCGGGTTGCGGGTTTTTTAAGTGGGATAACTCCAATCAGGGTCCTGTTTAGGGTACTTATAAGTCGATTTACTATCTACTTACTAGGTCCCCCAACCCTCCAAGTAGGGTCCAGGGTTTTAGGGTTTAGTAAACCTCTGTCCCATCTGCATCTGAGGACAAGGTGTCATTCAGCAGCCGCCGCTGCTCGGCAGAATCTGTGATGCTGAGAATGATGGATCGCGACTGCTCCTCCTCTGACACCAGCATGCAGGGCTTCTGAAACAACCGCACGCTGCATGGCCATCCCCTTATGATCCCTATGGAAACTAGCCAAAATCTGGTTGCTCCGCTGGGGAAATCCAATGAGCGTCATGTTTTGTGGTAAGCTTCTTCAGCTGTCAGTTGAGCTGCGTAACTCGTCCTGTTGATTCTCAACAAGTTCTCGTCTGCTTCCGATTTCTTAATTCTTTGCTACACTCGCATGCCGTGCAACAGCACGTTGGCTAATTATCATGCATTGAACGTACAAGCCGTTCTCGTTTCACCTTAAACCCAGCAGACTTCGGCTCGCTGCACCGCACAAACCCATTCTGACGGAAATGGGCCCCTAGATGGACCCGCGAACCGACACCCCAGACAATCCGCCCGCCAATCCCACCCGCTGGGGTGTAGGATTTGGGGTTTGAGGGTTTAGAGTTTAGGGTTAGGGCTTTAGGGTTTTAGGGTTCAGGATTTAGGGTTTAGGGTTGCATGGTTATCTGGTTTTTCCTGATTTTCGCTGGGTCCTAAGGGTTTGTTTAGGGTTGCGCGGATGCCCCTCCCCACCTCCTCCCCACTCCACCCCACCGCCCTGTGTTGTGGTGGTGAGGAACAACTTCTTCGGTAAGTAATGGAGTTCTAGTACACGCCATGAGTGAGGGCTGGGTTGAGGGGTTTGGGGCTTAGGGCTTAGGGCCTAAACCCTAATTCCAAACCCTAAACCCCAAACCCCAAACCCTAAACCCCTAAACCCTAGACCCTAAACCCTCGGGGATCTCCTCGTTCTGCTCAAAGGCAATGTCCCAGAGCGTGTCGTAGTATAGGCCATGCTCAGGAGTCACCTATCGGATGTATTTGAGACACTCGCCCAAAGGGTTCTTGGGTTTAGGGTTTAGGGTTTAGGGTTTAGGGTTTAGGATTTAGGGTTTAGAGTTTAGGGTCAAATGGGGCATACAAGGCTTCCCGAAATTGAGGGCACACGCGAAGGGATCATGTAACAAAGCATAGCCCTGTGGCTTAGGATTTGTGGTTTGTTGGCATCGCATCAAGCATAGCCTCGCGATGAAAAGGAGGTGTCCTTGTTCCAAGGGAGTCCTACTATTTGGGGTCTATGTTAGGGGTATTTTCGTAAACCCCCATATTATACATGCTGGATCACGGGAAATAAGTGTAGGATGATGCGCCATTACTGCGGCAAAGTCTCTGCAGCGAAGCGGACACCGCCATTGATGTATAGTCCGCGGGTGAGAGGGAAGGTGCTGCTGTTCACACCGTAGTAGATTGCACCCTTGGTGTTGTCCCAGACATACCTAAGTCGGAAAGGGTCGCACCCTTTGAGAATTCATACTCGTTCTGGTCCCCCGATACTAGACCCTGCCTACCCCCCTAATATTGTCCCCATACACTACATTATAACTAAGGAGTATCTAGTAATAGGGCGCCTGGGGGGGGGGGGGGGGGGTTGAATAAAAGGGGGGCGTACGGGATTCCTACATGAAAGATCTTTCGGAAGCCAAGAGGCGGATGTCCATCTTTGGAGAGCTCCACCAGGTTCCCGCCCTTCCGCATGACCTTCGCGCGCACCCCGCGGTCGTTCTCCAGGGTCCATGCTGGCACCTCTTCCTTTTTCATGGTTGGGGGAATGGTTCTATTCCTTGTTGGGTTTAAGTACCCGTTAAGCATGTAAAATGCTACCCAACCCTGACAAAGCTTCGGTGGTCACCTTCGTCATGTCACCCACATCGGGGAAGTCGGGGGCGTAGTACAGCGTGTGGGTGCTGGCGGCCAACCTGACCTGGGGGTTTTTGACATTCGGGATACCTTCTCGGGGTCCTTATTGGATGGGGCTCAGTTTAAGGGGTACCCTATTTTCGTAAACTCCCACCTTCTCCAAGGGGTCCGTCTTGGCGAGGCGGGTGCGCTGGGCCAACATGGACAGACCCGAAGATCCCCCCCCAGAGGGCCTTGTCAAGCCTGAAGCAGAAGCACAGGAAGCAGATTCCTGATGGCTTTGGCCTTGGCTGACTTCTGAACCCCTCCTAACGGTCTAACTTTCAGTCCCCTTCTTGTAGCTTCCACAAAAACCACAAAAGCTTGAAGTCCCAAGAGCCAAGAGAAAGCCAAGTGGCCTCTGACAAAAATCAGGAGCAGGCTCAGTGAGCGTGCAAAGCCCATGTTGGGAGCCCGGGTGTGGACAAAGGGAACAGGTTTGGGGGGGGCTTGGGCCGCAACTGCGATGTGCTTGCACTGCAGCCAGAGACACCGACACACCCGCGTAAACTAAGGAAATAGACTTTATAAGGCGTACCAAGGCTCCCTACATAAGGTAAGGTATGCTCTTTATTTAAGGGGGATCATGTCTTTGGGCAGATGGGGGGGGGTGGGGTGATAAGTGCAGGCATCTTCCTTATGTAAGGGGAATCGTGTTCTTTGAGCAAATGAGGGGGGGTGGGGTGGGGTTCGAATTGCGCGCGCCCTGAAGCTTAGGGGCGAAAGGGTTAAGGATTTAGGGTCTAGGGTTCCGGGTTTAGTGGAACTCAACCCTAAACCCTAGACCCTGAACACCTAAACCCTAAACCCTAACCCTAAAACCCTAAACCCTAAACCCTAAACCCCAAACCCTAAACCCCAAACCCCAAACCCCAAACCCTAAACCCTAAACCCTAAACCCTAAACCCTAAACCCTAAACCCTAAACCCTAAACCCTAAACCCTAAACCCTAAACCCTAAACCCTACCCTAACCCCGAAACGAACAAATAGCATGTTGGCTGGGAGCCTGCACCCCCATGTCTAATGCAGGGTTTAGGGTGTGGGTTTAGGGTTTAAAGTTTAGGGTTCAGGGTTCAGGGTTCAGGGTTCACGGTTCAGGGTTCAGGGTTCAGGGTTCAGGGTTTAGGGTTTAGGGTTTAGGGTTTAGGGTTTAGGGTTTAGGGTTCAGGGTTCAGGGTTTAGGGTTTAGGGTTTAGGGTTCGGGGTTTAGGGTTTAGGGTTTAGGGTTTAGGGTTTAGGGTTTAGGCAGGACACCCATCGCAAGACCATTCCTCACCCTAAAGCCATGAAAGACCCTAAACCTACTGGCTTTTTGGGACTGAGGGGACTAAGTACCTTCTATCCCTAAAAATACCCCGAAAGGGATTTCTTAAGCCCCTAACCCTACACCCCAAACTTTAAACCCTTGAAGGGATGATAAGTCCTTCATTCCCTACGAAGATCCAGTAACCCTAAACCCTAAACTTGGGTTCGGCCGGTCCACACTAACAGTCACCACCAGCAGACCCACAAATAAAAGCACCCGGTAAATGCCAAAAAATTGACTGAGATTCCTGCTATTCCTGGTGCTATTCCTGGTGCTATTTCTGGTGCTATTTCTGGTGCATTTTTTTGTGCTATTCCTGGTGCTATTTCTGGTGCTATTTTTGTGCTATTGTTTGTGCTATTTCTGGTGCTATTTTTTGTGCTATTGTTTGTGCTATTTCTGGTGCTATTTCTGGTGCTGTTGCTGGTGCTATGTGACTAACAATCACCATCAGCAGACCCACAAAAAACAGCACCCGGTAAATGCTAAGCTGCTAAAATTGACTGGGATTCCTGGTGCTATTTTTGGTGCTATTGTTTGTGCTATTTCTGGTGCTATTTTTTGTGCTATTCCTGGCGCTATTTCTGGTGCTATTTTTTGTGTTATTGTTTGTGCTATTTCTGGTGCTATTTCTGCTGCTATGTGACTAACAGTTACCACCAGCAGACCCACAAAAAGAAGCACCCGGTAAATGCTAAAATTGACTGGGATTCCTGGTGCTATTTTTGGCCTGTGTGTTATAAGGCCACGGCGTTATTTGACTGTTAGTGTGGACCGGCCGAACCCAACCCTAAACCCTAAACCCTAAACCCTAAACCCTAAACCCTGAACCCTAAACCCGAAAAACCTTATAATCCGCTGGAGGTGGAGGAAAAGCCTGGGGCAGACGTAATGGCGGCACCTCGCACCAATAGGGTTCAGGGTTTAGGGTTTAGGGTTGAGGGTTGAGGGTTTAGGGTTTAGGGTCTAGGGTCTAGGGTTTAGGGTTTAGGGTTTAGGGTTTTGTCCCTTGTGCACCTAAGCCCAGATACTTCTAAGAAACCTCAACCTTATCAACGGAATGGCCTGAGCGGGCGCCGATGACAGCCCCCAGCGCTTGGCTCGTGCTGCTAGCTTGTCCTCGGCTTTCACTTTTGAAGGAAGGGTTTCGGGTTTCGGGCTTAGGGTTTAGGATTTCGGGTTAGGGTTTCGTCTTTCCGGTTTAGGGTCTAGGGCCTAGGGTTTAGGGTTCAGGGTTCAGGGTTTAGGGTTCAGGGTTTGCATGGTTTCAGGGTTTGGGGCTTAGGTGCGAACCCATTAGGAGTCTCATCGTAGGCTTTGGCAATTGGCTCGGCCATCGCGCCTACGCTGTAGTCCGTGTCCACATAAACGCGCTCGTCCCTTGGGTCTGCATGTGCTGCTGGCGCTCGGTGCGTCATGAGTGGCCCAGCACCTTCCTGCCTGATCCAGCAAAGGTTTAGGGTTTTGGGTTTTGGGTTTTGGGTTTAGGGTTTAGGGTTTAGGGTTTAGGGTTTAGGGTTTAGGGTTTAGGGTTTAGGGTTTAGGGTTTAGGGATTAGGGTTTAGGGTTTAGGGTTTGGGGTAGCGGTGATCAGCAAAATGGGGATTTACAGCCGCTTAGCTATGCCCATCAAAGCTGCAGCAGACCAATTCCGGCCGGCAGGAATCTCGCGGGCTTCATCCGTGGCCAACACAACCAAGGTTGGTTTGGGGTTTAGGGTTTAGGGTTTAGGGGTTTAGGGTTTAGGGTCCCTAAACCCTAAACCCTACACCCTAAACCCTAAACCCTAAACCCCAAACCCTAAACCCCTAACCCTAAACCCTCAGCAGTTTAGGGTTTCTGGAAGCTTGTAGGGAGTTTGAGGTGTTAAAGATTCCTAAACCCTAAACCCTAAGCCCTAAGCCCTAAAACCCAAAAGTCCCTGACAGGCCTGAACAACTTCATGCCCCCACACCACGAAGCAGCACCTAGAAAGCCTTGAGGGTTTAGGGTTGAGGGTTTAGGGAGAAGGGGAGGTTGTTGTAGGGTGTAGGGTTTAGGGTTTTAGAGTTTAGGGTTTAGGGTTTCGGGTTTAGGGTTTAGGGTTTAGGGTTTAGGGTTTAGGGTTTAGGGTTTAGGGTTTAGGGTTTAGGGTTTAGGGTTTAGGGTTTAGGGTTTAGGGTTTAGGGTTTAGGGTCCGCCGACCCTGGCGGCGTGTTGGATGGGAAAAGGAGGTGAAAACCTCCCTCTTTCCCTCCTTACCCCCCCAAAACGCGGGGGGGGGGGGGTAGGGGGGGGTACCCCGCCAGCTTTTCTGTGGAGGAACAGGTAAACTCATGGACCATAGGCGTTTTGGCACATGGCATAGGGGCTCTTTTGGAAAAAACCCCTCTTTTTGTGGCTCCCCACAACCACCCCACCCCCCCCCCACCACCCCCCCCCACTCCCCCCCCCACCCCCCCCCCCACCCCCCCCCCACCCCTCCCCCCCACCCCCCCCCCCACCCCCCCCCACCCCCCCCCCACCCCCACCCCACCCCGTGCCTTGGATGCTTAACGTCTATTCTGCGCGTGCTCTTTGTTTTCTTGGATTCTTCCCGAAACAAATTCTGAAATTGGGTTCTCGTTTGAGGCGTTCTATCGGACCGCTTCTTGGAGGAGTTTTGACGTGAGGCCGCGGGGACGACACGGTCAAGGGAGAGGGTTCGGAACATTTTGCTGGGAGAGGGGCGTGGCGGGGAGCGTGACATTCCCTTGATGGGCAGGGGAGTGGGGACACGTGGATGTTCCTCCGTGCCCTCCGCGTTTGCAAGCCCTCCGCGCCCTCCGCGCCTCCGCGCCCTCCGCGCCCTCCGCGACCTCCGCGCCCTCCGCGCCCTCCGCGCCCTCCGCGCGCTCCGCGCTCTCCGCGCCCTCCGCGACCTCCGCGCCCTCCGCGCCCTCCGCGCCCTCCGCGCCCTCCGCGCGCTCCGCGCCCTGCGCGTCCTCCGCGCCCTCCACGCCCTTCCCGCCCTCCGCATGCTCCCCGCCCTCCGCGCGCTCCGCGCCCTCCGCGCCCTCCGCGCCCTCCGCGCCTTCCGCGCCCTCCGCGCCCTCCGCATGCACCCTCCGCGCCCTCCGCGCCCTCCGCGCCCTCCGTGCGCTCCGCACCTTCCGCGCCCTCCGTGCCCTCCGCGCCCTCCGCGCCTTCCGCGCCCTCCGCGCCCTCCGCGCCCTTCGCGCGCTCCGCGCCCTCCGCACCCTCCGCGCCTTTCTCGTCCAGGACACAGTGTGCTGATGCTAAGGGCGCATTGCGTCTATTCTGCGGGTGCGTTGCGTCTATTCTGCGGGTGTTTCCTTTGTAAAGTATTTGTTTACAAGGCACGCACGTGCAGCATAGCCTTTAAGTCTCCATCTTACCCCCCCACTTGAAGGTTCATGGTACTTACTAACCAATTACAACTGTACTTACAACCCTACTTATAATACCCCTAAAGGGCCTTATAGGGGTTATCCCAATTGTAAGTAGGGTTATAAGCCCAGTTATAATTGGTTAGTAAGCACCATGAACCTTCTAGCACCCCCCCCCCACCCCCCCACCCCCCCCCCAACCCCAACAGGAACCGCAAACAAAATCACCAAACCCCAAACCTTAAACTTGTTCTCCTGCGGGGTCGGCGGCTTGAGCCGGAGGCTCTTAAATCCGGCCCCCGCGCCGCCCGTGGTCCAGGGCGGAGCCCGCGTCGCACTAAAGCGCTAGCTTTAAGGGGCGAGCGCCCGAGCCGCCGACCCCGCCCAAAATTGCTTCAAATTCGCGCGGGGCCCTTGTTTGGGGGGGGTACCGGAAGCCCAAAACCAGGCGAGCATCATGAGCATCAGCAGCCCTGGCCCGCGGCCCCAAGGCAGTAAAAAACGCTGAAAAACGCTGAAATCACCGTAAATACCGTGTTTTTATGAGGTTTTTCACACGTGCCTCCGACCC